GTTTTGGTCTGATCTTTTTGAATTAGTCTGATTGGCTTATCTTAGAAAATGAGTTAAAAAAAGTCTATTATCAATTATATTCTCTCGCCACTCTTTTTAATGTGAGGAGGCAGAAGAAACATCACAAGTCGCATTATTTAGGTCATGGTGGAGAGTTTTGCCCTTTCAGAAGTCTGAAATCAAATTATTTAGAAAAGATTTTGACTGGCCACTACTCTTCCCATCATATTCAAAGCAGGACTTATCTGATCCTCTCTTTGCCTTCCGTGGAAATGCTGGGGCTTTAAAATGAGCACCCAGAATTTCTGCCTCTCCCTACTGAGCAAGAAATACCCAAGCCACGACTTACAGGGAAGTAGAAAGGGAAGAAAAGGCTGGATTCTGTGGCTCAAAACAAGGCTGCAGGTAAACTCGAGCTGTGTATTGGTTATAATCAGTTTTACTGCAGCTGTTGAGTGAACTGCTTCCAATTCTATATGCTTCTACTTTCAAAGCAAGTCTGAGCTTCCAGTAAGAAGAAAGGAAACTCAAGTACCCTTGTTAATACTGATCTACAAAGGAAGTTGCTTCCTTTTTCCACACATACCACAAAATGCCTCAAGAAACATAAAAAGGAGTGAAGCAGGAGATACAAAATTCTTTTTTTCTCGGGCTCTTTTTCTGGAAAGAGACACAAGTTGCTTCCTTGACACAGAAAGTAGAATTCAGGGTACAGTACCCTGAAAAGTCAAACACAGCCCCAGGGTTCAGTGAAAAATCAGACATTCACGTTAATCATGTTCTGACTCAGAGTTCAGCACTTCCCTAAACACACAGACACTAGGGTAGGGTGGGCTGGCAGCCACAAGCTACTGTGGAAGCTAAGAACAGGAAGGGACTTCAGGGCATGGCAGATGAAGTTCTAGTGTAAATGATCTATAAAAGGAACACTAAGCTAATTGTAAAAAGGGACAGGGTGGAGAAAAGCTGAATTTTATTTTAATTAGAGGAGCAAGCAGTTCAGTAAATTCCCATCCACTGCATGAGAAGGGAATAATATGAACCAAGATTGAAGGTGAAGCTAAGGAGGAGAAAACACATACTTGATACACATTTTGCTAAACACACTCCCTAGATAATTGATTTGGAACCCTGCAAGAGTATCAGCCTAAAGCAATGAAGGCAATAAACATCTACCCTCTAAATCATCATTCCTAAAATAAACACTTGGCAAAAAATGGCAGAGTATACCACATTTATGCCTTCTTAGGTTGGAGTAAGAGCTGCAGGTTTTCCAGAGCTCTTTAACAGAGCCTGCCAAGGAACAATATGATCATTGATTTTATAAGCTGATAACAGGGAAGGGATTTGTTTTAGAAGACAGGTGCTTCAATCCACGAATCTATCAATTCGTCAATATTTTTTAAGAGCCTTTATCTTTACGTGTAGCTCCAAAGCAAAGTGACAACAGAATGCTCAAATACTTTATATCCTTATTCTTGGAATAACACAGTCAGTCAATATACACCACAGCAATTTTATAAACAACACATTAAACTGTAACAACTCACACCACCGAACAGTTTACCTGCAGTAAAGCATGCTCCTCTCCCTAAGTTAGGAATCACAAATTTTTTAGGGTCTCTGAAGACAAAGAACTGTTCAGGTAAGGCAAAAATAATTTAGACAACATATCTTTAAAAAATGGATGCTTTGTTCTTTCCCCTTCATGTGTTTGCATACCCACACTGTGTGTAACTATATGTGGAAAGGGAAAACAGGCATCACAGCTTCAAAGAGCCCACAAATTTCTCACATCAGGGAATAAAACTCCACGGGCAGTCTCTAATCATTCCTGAAGCCTCTGAAAGACCTATTATTATTATTATAAACAGCAGGTGGGAGAGGAAAGCTCTCACACTCTGAATGCAGAGCAGGGAAGATACAGCTGGAAAGTGAACCTTGGCTGAAGGACTCAAACTATTTAGCTCCCAAGAAGCAGCAGCAGAAAAAAAATGCAGCACCTGATCCTTACTGCATGTGATTTTCTGGGGGCAGACTTTGTGAAACCCCAGTAGTCTTCTATCTAGAGTTGTTAAACAGAACAGAAGAAAGCCAAAGAAAATTTGAGGGTTTGAAACCTTTTTTAGAGGCTGCATTATTTTAAGAAGTATGCCAACTCCAAAACTGAGGCTGGAGAAGAGTGGAGGAAGAAAAGGATACATGACATCTGCAGATTACTTGGTGCTAACAACAAGCCTAGTTATCTTCAGCCCTAAAGAGCACATCTCTGCTATGATATTAAGTGGCAAACTTGGGCAACATACACCATCAACAACAAACCATAACAACGGCTTGATGGATCTATAGCAGCTTTCAAGTGAACAGGATCAAACACCACTTCTACCATTTCTTCTCTCAACTTAGAATCAAGCTCCTTGTGCCTTCATATCTCTTAGTTTCTTATCTCCATGGGCTTGAAAAAAACCTCAAAAGTGGCACAACACACAAGAAAGGAATTGGCTTTTTTCCTGGAGGAGGTCAGTGGTACAGCAGCCACTATTTCAGCTAGGCTTTGCTTCTACAACCATCTTCCTAGACACCTCAACCGCAGGTGTTCTACTACTAATATACATCACTAACTTGATCACCAGAGGAGTGCAGGGACCTCACCAAAAGGTATCCCATCTGGCATCAGTAACGATCCTTCTTTACTCAAAAGCAAGAGACTGAGCATTTGTCTCCAATAAAACTGTAATCATGAATGCACACTAAGCAGTTACATCTGATGACAAACATCTTTCCCAAATAACATATGGCTCAAATCCGTTATCAAAAGAGTTCACATCATACCAAGATTTAAGAAGGAGGAAAAAACTCAACAAAATAAAAAACAGAGCTAAACGAACAAAGTATCACAAAAAAAAAAAAAACCCATCTCAAAGTTAGACTCCAAGAACTTGAAAGTGTCCTTTCAATGTTAAGAAAACCTGTATGAAGAAATCGAAATTACAATACAGTTCAGATTTTCCACACTGGTTTGTGCTCTCACACTCAAGTGGTTAAGAGAAACTGAAGAGGAAGTCTATGCCCTACTCTTCTCAGACAGATTGTGATACAGGTGGGGCAGATATGAACTCCCACAGACATTTGAAATGTCAACAGGTTTTGTCCAACAGGTTTATAAACACTGTAGTCACAAATATAAACAAACATTTCAGGGAAAAGCAGCCACACTAGTCCTTCAAATCAGTAGGATTTTGGGCTTGAACTCTGGAGAAAATGCAGGAAAATAGAAAGGTTAGGGATACCACATACTAATCTCTAGTATTTATGGGTCCATTAGCTAAACATAGACTGAAATTAAAGTTTGGCTTCACTAAAAAACAACTCTTGGTCAGTTACCCAAGACATGTTTGAACAGGCTGCTGAGACCTTAAAAAATAAAAAGAGGTATCTGCAAAGAGCAGCTTACTTAGGTGATTTGGGAATCATGGGACTTTTTCTAAGTCAGTCAGACTACTGCTAGCAGAATGCCCACATTAGTGAATATTGCAATGGGTCAAGTGAACCATAAACTGTAGAGTAAACATGCCATTTCCCTGTACAGGTAAAGAAGAAAGCATAGAAAATTTAGTGCAGCTGTAAACATCTAAAATTAGAAAAGATTTATTACATTTTATGTCTGTGAACAAACATCCCTGTGACCAGGGCAATGAAAATTAACATCCTTGGCAAGCAGCTTTATCTGACAGAGATGGCTGCTTTTCTCTGCCTATCTTACAACTAAAATTTAGAGTTCAAAGAATCTTTCAAAAGTTAGACTTAGAGCACAGAAGTTGCAGATGAATTGATTTTGTTTGCTGTGTTTTGCTAATTGATTACTGTTTGCCATATTCTGCTTAATCCACTTTTAGTCTTAAACTTCATGCGGGAACAGGTTGCAGAGAATAGACACAGAAACAATAGGTAAGTATGAGTAGGCATTAAATCACTTCCCTAGAGAGAAAGGCCTATGATAAAATAAATAAATAAATAAACCATAAGAGCTTCTAGCTAAAGTCTAATACATCTTCCCTATCACACAAAGTTAGAAACTAGAAATGCTTTCACAAGGCAATAAAGAATCTACCATTTCAGTACAAAAGCACCATGGTAAAGCCTCATAAAGTTTTCTATCAGGAAGCCTTCTAAAAATCTCAAGTCATAAAGCAATGAGATATACATCTTGATTTTAGAGATTCCCCACAACAGTGCACTGTTTGTCTCCTTCAGCCCAGAGTGTTTTGACCTCCATCTCCCAGGGAAATATCTCCCCAGTGCCTGGAGACATCCTCCAGTGCCTGATTTCCAAACTCACCCTGTGCCACTGATCTCTTGGGAGTGAGCATGACTCACTCCACATGCACAAGCCACAGAACAGTGCTGTTTGAGCCCATCTTTTTTTTTAATCTGCTTTAACTAACAGCTTTCCTAAAACCCACAATATCAGACTCACAATACTTTATCACATGCCATAAAACATATTCATAGTAACCACAGTCTCAATATATAAATAGTCCTTTGCCTGCCCAACTTTCCTGTTACACATATTAGGGATTAGCACTTCCATCACATTAGGCTTAAACTCTGATTTTAAACATCTGCAAAGTGGTTAAAAGATATGCAATATGACTTTAAGATATGTTTCAAATGTAAATAGGGTAGATCAATATTCTTAAACTAGTATCTCCAAAGTTATAGAGTAACATTTTGTATTGTCAATTTTTGTCTGCAATTATTCTGTATAATACATATTGATTTGGAAGGTTAAATAAGCACATTCTGAGTGTGCATCAAATTCTCAAGAACAATCCCATTACAAATGAATTACGTGTTCCACTACTTCAGAGCTTTGGGAAAAACTGGAAACTGTGCACTGAAGACTATCATCCACAGGTACAGGAGATTGTACAGGCAACATGAAATCTCTTTGGTTCCTTGCTACTGCAACAAAGTCAGAAAATATTTGAGAAACTTACTATTTTCCAAGCAGAATCTTGGACAGATCCTGTTCAAAAGAAGTTCCTGTCGTAATCGAAGAACTTCAGCTTCCAGCACTTCAACTTTCCATTTCCATCCAAAATCCTGTTCACATACAATTTTGGCAAGGTGCTCAGTGTATTCTTTGGAACTCTTCCCTGGTGGTTTTGAGTGGATGATTGCAAAAGCCAATGCTAGTTTTGATATTTTCAAATACCAAATTTGATTTTCTCTTCTGTCTTTGATTTCTATTGCAGTAGAAAAAACAGAAAACAAAAAAGTTATTTCACTATGACTCCATTAAGGAAATTATGCACAGTATTTTCTTGGCTGTGAAAACTGTTCAACAGGGAGACCAATTCTTCTATTTTTAGTGCATTCCTAAATCATCAAGGAAAAGAGTAGAAATACAAGCATCTGTGCACAATGTGAGAATAAAACATACATGAGCTGCACTCCAGCTATAAAAATAAAACTCAGGCACTGTTTGAGAATAATTGTGGAAATAGTAAGCACTTCAAATAGGCTCATCCTAGCATAATTTTAAATGCAAATGTTATCTCCACTAAAACAAAGATGAAGACACTAAAAATACTAACCTAAAAAAACCCCAAACCCTGACACACCCTCCCCCTCCCAAAAAATATCCTAAGCCTATGACTGAAGAAATCATATGGGGTTATTTATACTTAAAATTAACACCATTTCTTGAAAGTGCACCTAAAGGTTCCAGTGCTCAAAAGATAAAACTCTGAGGTTGTTTCTGGTTTTGGACACCCAGTATTGCTGCACTTGGAAGTTCTAAGCCTATATTAAGGCTCAAGCCTGCAGAAAGGTCTGTGCAGACAGCTTCACAGTGATGCAAGTGAAGACAGTTTTACCAGCTCTGTTACAAACAGTGAGGATGGGGCAAAAGACACTATAGGAGTCAGAAAAACAAAATATTTAACTAGATGATTGTGTCATGGGCAACAGCACAGGACCTAGGAATAGAACAGGAAAAATAAAATTAAAAATAACTAATAATAACCAACCTACGTAATTAGCAAAGTTACTTTATTTCCTAATTCAACATCACTTTAATTCAGTTGCTTAAAATATTTTTTCTTGAAAAAATACTACTCACAGAATAATAATTAAAAAGAATCACTTCCTACGCTTTTGTCCTGGCCTTGACATGTAAAACTTTTTCACAATACTATTTTTTCTCTTGTTATCCAACAAAACTGCAGGCTAAGCACTATAATTAGTCATGTTGAGTAGCTCTGAAATAGTCACAGCACAGGTGTGAATAAGGCATTTTAGGTCATCCTTTCACCAGATCATCTCCTGTCCCTAAGCTGATTTCTTCCTTTGGTTCTCCTCAGCTTTGGATAGGAAGTCATAAAACCCCATATATTCATTTATGCATCAGGGGCACTTACAAAAAGAGCTTCCTTTTAAATATTTCTTTCAGCTTTCAAACACTTCTGTTCTGCACTTACAAAAAGAGCTTCCTTTTAAACAATTCTTTCACCTTTCAAACACTTCTGAAATGCACAAACAGTTCCTGTACATCCCTTGCACACTGTCCATTCAGACACACCTGTCAGTTAGCACTTTGAATTGTACAGAGTACAAAGGACTAGAATGCAAAATTCCTTGGGATCTATTTACCTACAGTTGTGTTTTAAGCTCCTGTTCTTCACCTGAAACACTCCATTCCTGCCCTGTGTCAGAGCAAAACCAACTCATCTAAGCCACCAGTGCATTCTTAAAGCTAATTATAGAGTAAGCACTTAGAAACTGGACTATATTATATACACCCACTACTTAAAGCAGTTATACATTAAATAGCACTTTTTGCAAAATTTCTTACAAAAAAAATAATCTATTTCACACAACTTTTCAACTCATATCTAAGAATTCCAGTGAAAAGCAGAAGTTAATTTTCTCAGCCTCAAAGGATTAGCACCTCTGTGGGACAACTAGTTGGTGTAAGCCTCCTGTTTGCCTTACACATCAAAGGAAATGTTAACAAATACAGAACCATGCAAGTCATTGAACTGCCTTCAAAGCAGTGAATAAAATGAAATACATAGAACCACACTTGAAAGAAAAGTAAATAGTAACAGTAAGGTACCCAAAATATTTGGCTTTGAACCTGAAAGGTGCTTCCCAGATTATGTCATCTGCTTAACAGAAGTTTCACCCAGGTATTACTCAGTGTCTGCCAAGTTCCATTCTTACAAAGTTCCTGTGCAGAGCAGAGCCATAAATTAGGGCAGGCAGGAAGATGTCTCACAAAAGGCTTTCACTGCTGGTTTATCATTTTGCTATCTCCAGAGACTGCTCTGCAAAAGCTTTCTGATTCACCTTCCTTTTCAGGACAAATAAAGATTTACTTTCTGGTTCCTAACATGCTTTGACAGTATTAGCATCCTCCTCTAAATTACATTCAGGGAAGTTGCACAAGGATCAACATTCCACTATGGGTCAGAGAATGGTATTCAGTTTCAGCATTTCATGAATACTCAGGTGCCTTTTGTCACCACCAACACCTTCTTATCTATGGAGCTGTATATTTCTACTCACAGGACATAATATTATGAAAAAGTTAGATGTCTGACCACTGATATATTACCAATATGCTACTAAGTGCACTTTGGTAGCATTTTTTCACCACTTACTACCAAAATAGAATCACTTTTCGACTTTGTTTTGAAAGGGACTACTGTACTTTAAGCTTAACAAAAACCTTTGTGCACAAACTAATAACACAATACAAACAAGCAAAAGGATCTTTCATCCTCAACATTCCAAAATGCCATTTTCTAAAGGAGTTGTATCCCTAGTAAAACACATAAACTGTGGTGTCTTGCTTAATTTTGCCTTAAATCACAGTCACTACAATCTTAAATAGCATTCCACCTTAGCACTTAGGACATAACATTTAATTAATGAAATTTGGATTTTCAGGGAGGCCTTTTCCTCTTTAACATCTGATACAGACTCACTTCTACAGTAGGAGAGCCTTACACTGAATGAGTTCAAGGAGATATTCTTAACTCTTGAGAAAAATAATCACTCCTTTTCTGGAATAATTACTGTAAAGATGTTGTTAAAGAAAAAAAACCCCACAAAATAAAAACAGGACAGACCACAGTTGGTTCTCCCTAAGAACAATATACAATCAAAGCAAGTTTTGGCGAAGTCATTCTGTTGGAATCACAAAATCTCTTGCTTAAAAACAGATGGAATCACAAAATCTCTTGCTTAAAAATTAATTAATTAATGACAATTCCTGCATGTATGCCCAGAAAGAGTGGATTTATTAAAGATTTTATGAAGAACATACAGCTTTTCACCTCCTTTCTGTTACTGATACCATCACCATTTCTCTTCCCTTATGATCATGAAAAGAGAAGTTTGTGTAATGAAAAGCAGAAGTTCTAAGAGTTGATTCAGGTTTTTCACTGTTCTCTAAAGGGACAAGTGCTCTCTCAGAAACCACTGCAAAAGTCTTCTAGAAAGTAACACACCGGATGACACTGTTAGAAGGATGGGGATGCTGGCCAACTGTGCATTAGCAAAAATTGCACAGCAATCTGTTGCTCTCAGGAAGTGCTGCACCACCAATGTGAATACATTCCACTAAAAGCATATTGGCAGCTACAGAGTTTTATCAATAATACTCTTGCTCCTGTCAGCACAGAAATTACACCAATGGTTAGGCAGAAAAAAAGTCTTAGAACCAAACCAAAAATTTTTCTTGATTGGGAATAGCACCAGACCAGGAGCAGAAAGAAGTCACCTAGCTGCCAATGCCAGAATACATCCAACAGGAACAGAAAAGTTCGAGAATTAACCTCCAAAACACATCTGGCACTGCAGTGTTACTCAGCAAGAATACCTGCTTACTAACAAAGCTCCATTTCTGCACAGACTCAGTGTCAAGGGGAGAACCAGTAACCCCTTGCAAACTCTGCCAGAAGGGCACAGCTTCCTAACAACAGATACTACCTGGTGACAAGTTTCCTATGCAAACCCCTCAATCCACAAACTGATACTGGAAGTGGACTCAGAGGACACAACACACTAACATCAGTCTCAAATAGGACTAGGGGGCCAGATTTCCAACACAAGAAAGAGAGACCTCCCTGTCTCCAGCCTTCTAAGTCTCACACAGGGAGAGGGTACTGAAGACCCACAGCCCTGCTGAGACCCTAGCTGTGGAAGGCTGCTGAGCAATTATTCACCTGCTGAAAAGAAGCCATGAACTGTCCTGTTTGGCTCTGTGTTACGTAGTCAAGGGAACTGAGAAGTGGTGTGGCATCCTTTAAGGACCTTAGACATAAACAGGAAACAGGATAACAGAAAGAATCAGGGTAAATCTGACTCATAAGCACTACCCTAACCCACCAACCTGCCAGTCCTACTGTTTTACAACTGCATTTGATGGAGCAGATCATACCACACTATTAACTACAGTAAGGTATCTTCTGGTAAGTCTCACCATGGTTTTAGCACTGTCTGGAACACGTGAAAAGGAAATAATTCCCACTAATTAGGAAAAAAACACCCCACCACTTTTAGATTATCACCTTTTTAGTTCGTTTTCTTCTCAGTCTGAAACTCCATTTCATATTTAACTCCAATCCAAAGGTCAAAGGTTTCACATTATGGGTTAAAAAGCCTAAAGAGTTCAAATCATTATTATCAAAAAATGAAAACATCCATTAAAGCCATGAAACTTGCATCTAAAGCCATGTATTAAAGTAATTTTAACATGCTGTAATAGCTTCTATTTCCAAAATCCTGCAGCTCCACAAAAGTGCTACACCTTGCTGGTTAGTGGTCGCCACTTTCATAGCAATAACACGTTATCTAAGCCCGGAAGTTTAAGTCAAACACATGACATCTTCAAGAAACAAGGACAATTTCCTGAGCACAAAAGCAGCCCTTCCTCCCCAGCACTCTTCTCAGCTGCCAAAAGATGCTTTTCTGCCTCTTATTTCAATGTTTGTTTTTATTTCACACACAACTGAACAGCCCTGAGTGCACAGCAGCTGCTGCACACCAAGTCTCAAGGGCAAATATGTTTCTTTTTTACCCCATGCCAGAACTGCACTAGAGCCAACAACGGGCTAACAGGGACAACAATAATGTTCTTTCCTTAACTGAAGTGTAGGGATGATCACATCATTGTTCTTTGCATTAGTACATATCCTTAACTGAAGTGTAGGGATGATCACTTCATTGCTCTTTG